TTTTGTTTGTTGTTTTTTTTTAAAAAGAAGCATAACAAGGCAGAATATGTTTTAGTCTAACTTTAAGATTCTCCTATATTAGCAGATGACAAATGAGCAAGCAAGAGCTTCCTTTTTTAAAAGTATAATTAAAAGGTTCAAAGCTCAAAATGAAGGCCTGAAGTTTGGGGCTGGACCAAAGAATGAGGTAAGTCTTGCCGAAGCCGGTTTGACTCAGTGGTAGAGCGTCGGTCTGTGGACTGAGAGGTCCAGGGTTCGATTCCGGTCAAGGGCATGTACATTGGTTGCAGGTGCATCCCGGGTGGGGGGTGTGCAGGAGGCAGCTGGTCAATGTTTCTCTCTCATCGACGTTTCTAGCTCTCTATCCCTCTCTCCTCCTCTCTGTAAAAAAATCAATAAAATATATTAAAAAAAAAAAGAATGAGGTAAGTCTAGGAAAGTCAGCTGTGGTTCTGTTGGTTGGAAAGACACGTGTCTCCATATAATTGAGGGGGAAGAAAAATCATATTCAAACTATTCGTAAGTTTGATATAAATGATGCCTCTAACCACGTAAAGGAGTGTGTGTAGAAGAGGGGAGGGGTGGGGGTGTCAAAACTAGGTTCGATACTTTTCAACTCAGTCTGTTTTTTAAAGCTCTGGTTCCTAAGGAAGTCAGTTGTACTCGGAGGCAGAGAGTGGCGAGCAGATGACCAAGGATGCCTAGTATTACAAACACACGAATGTATAAGCTGTGGAAGTGACTGTGCAAACAAACAGAATTTTCTAGTTCCGCCCGTTGCTAACCACTAGGTGTGTGAGTTGCCCAAACTCCCCCCTACCCTGAGCACCAGCACAGAGACGGCTCCGCTGATGTGTTAAGCGCAGGCAGACAGTGCTGGGGGAGAGGGAGGAAGAGAAGGGGGAAGGACAGAGAGATGCACAGATGACCCGGCCAAGAGGATCGGGTGCAGAACTACTTCACAAGGCTCCTCCAAGTTCTTTCCTCGGTGCCTCTGTTGGATATTTTTCCCCGTTGCTCTTCAGAGAGGGTAGGAGAGAGGGAGGGGGAACACACACACACACACACACACACACACACACACACACACACACGTACTGGTTGCCTCCCACTTGCTCCCTGACCAGCTCTAACCACTGAACCACCGGTGGGGCTCTCGGTGCCTTTTCAATCATTACCTTCCTCCGTGCTCTGGAATAAAGCTGACTGGCCCGTTCCTCTCCAAAAGCCAGTGGCTGCCCCACTGCAGGCCCTAGCATGCAGAGCTGGGGGTGGAGGCCAACGGGCCAGAATCTGTGGCTCAACTGGGCTACCCCGGCCTGCCTGCCTTTTGGACTCAGAGCAGACCCTGCAATGTCATTCCTGCTGCTTCTCAGCGGCTTTGCAGCATCTCCAGGCCACAGCCCATCTACAAAGCCGCCCAGGAGGTTCAAGAAGGGGCCGTGGGAGATGGCGTCTGTCAAAATGCCACAACCCTAGCAGAAGGCAGCTGCTGTCTCTTCCTCACCCACTAAGTGCAGATGCACAAACCCTCCTGGCTGCTTCTCCCCTTGCCGATCCCCTGGACCCTCCCTTCAGCATCTTAGGTGTCCGGTGGTTCCCCCAGACCAGTGGTCGGCAAACTCATTAGTCAACAGAGCCAAATATCAACAGTGCAACGATTGACATTTCTTTTGAGAGCCACATTTTTAAAACTTAAACTTCTTCTAACGCCACTTCTTCAAAACAGGCTCGCCCAAGCCGTGGTATTTTGTGGAAGAGCCACACTCAAGGGGCCAAAGAGCCGCATGTGGCTCACGAGCCAGAGTTTGACAACCACAGCCCCAGACCAATGCTACACAAGCCATCACTTCCAAAGGGGGCACAGGCCTCATTCAGTGCTCTCCCACCTTGCTGAGCTCAACGCTCGGCTGGCCTTTCAAAGCCTTCTAGAAACCAGGAGGGTGGGCCCAGAAACCTTATTTCAGGTTACATGCGGGGCCATTTCCCCACTCAGTGACTTTTCCCCTAAAGGTAACCCTTACACCGGAATGTGGACACAGTCCTAACCCACCAGCCAAGATCCTTGTTCCAGGGCTGAAGTCTTCCCCTCTGAGTGTGTAGGACCGTTTGCCTGCCCACCTCCAGATTGCAGAGTCAGTCTCAGTCCCTCCCTCCCTCCCTCCCTTCCTCACCCACAGCTGCAGGCATTAATTAAACCTCTTCTAGAAAACAGCTTTTCACCAGCCTCAGGAATCCTGGGTAAGAGCCAGACCTGGAGACAGACACCGTCTGGGTTGGAGAGATAAGCCCACCACAGCGAGAGCCTGTGGGCAGTGCAGGTTCCGCATTCAGGGGGCTGTTCTGAATTCCAGCTCGTCCAGGGCCTCTGAAAAAGGGGGCCCCGGAGGTCCCACCCCCTCAGCCTCCAGCTGTGTTCTCCAGAGCGGACCCTGGACAGGGGCGGAAGCGCTGCGCTTGGCTCCATCGGCCAGTGGTCACAGTCCCCTCTGACAGGAGCACCAGGCAAAACTACCTGCCTCCTCCCCCCGCAAGGGGCTGCCAACCACAATGCCAGGCTGTGCAAGAAGGGGAGCCGTTTTTGGGGGATGCAGTGCCCACCGGAGCGAAGATGGTGCAATCGGAAGCAGCCCGCAGGCTCCACAAGCTCAGCACATCTCCAAGGGCTTCCTCCATCAGGGGCAGGGATGAGGGATGCAGAAGGGGGCTGGGGCCACAGCTCACAGCCCTGTTGGTTACGCTGTCGGGGACTCACCTCTCAGCCAACAGCCTTAGCTCCCCAACGGCCCCAATTCTGTGATAAGGACAACTAATTTCCTTCCTGGAAATGGAGTCCCCATTCAGGTGAGAGACCCAGCGGCAGAGCCTACCCCATACACTGAGCTCTCTGCCCCAAACACACACAGAAATGAGTGTGCAGTAAGACAAATGTGCGTGTGCTGTGTGTGTGTGTATTTGATTAATGTAAGGATAACCTTTTGAAAATAGTGCATGTTTAAACATGGAGCCCGCAGTCTCAGACAGGATTTAAGAGGGTGACCCCTTTTTCCTAGACAAACACTGAGTACCAGCAGTTAGAGGGTGCCAGAGGCTGAGTGCAGGGGGCCACACAGCTTCACCCCGTCTCTGGCCAGTGGGGCATCCAAGAGTCAACACCTTACCGTGGTGAAGGCTGGGGAGATGCCCACCGGAATGCGTGGACAGTCCAGGGGCGTCTTCTGTGCCCCATTGTGATCTGGGGCTGATTACCTTTATCCATTCGCCATTCAGGGGGGAATGGACATTGCGCTAATTACTATGCAAGCCAATCAATAAAAATAAAACATAGTTGCTGATCCTGCCATTTCACAGATGCTCCAGAGGCAGGTGGGCCAGCCTGTCCCCGGTGTCCCACGGCGGCCTCCCACGTGTCCGTGAGGGCGGGCTGGCCAGGAGCCAGTCCCTAAGGGAGACGTACCCCCTGCATGCCATTTCTCTGCAATAGGCAATTAATTCAATCCGGGGCCTAATGAAAGCCAGGGCGGGGAGGGGAGAGACGCAGGCGCTGGCTTTCAGGCTGCAGCCCTGCATCTGCACCTCCCTCCACAGGGAGCACGAGGCTCGTCAAACCCTCTGCTTTAAACTCTCCCCACAGAAGTCAGGCTGGGCACCCACACCTGAGCGGGAGGAGTTGTGGCCAACCTCGTCTGCGGTGACGTCACGTTGGTAAAGGCTGGCTTGGACACGATCAGCTCCACAGACTGGGGTTCATCCGAGGGCATTGTGAAGAGAAAAAAAAATGTCCTCTGAGCCCTCTGAGCCCCCCCTCCTTGTCCCCGGGGCCATTCGCCTCACACTCCCTGCCCCCCTCGCACCACAGATCTGCTGCCACCTCTCTCCTGGTTTTCACTTTTGGGATGCTCACAGAGCATCCCTGCTTCCCTACGAAGGCACAGGGCACGCAGGCGGTATAGCCTCCTCGCTCCTTGGGAAAGCGGGAAAATATGGCTCCCGATCCGCTTCCACCGCTCATCTCATCCCCTGACCACCCGCAGGTACAACCTGAAAGACCGCCGCAGCCACAGAGAGGGCCACCTGCTCCCGGCAGATGCAGCTTAGTGTGTGTGTGAGAGAGACAAAACCGGCTTCTTTAAAAAGATCGCGACACAGCCGAGTTCACCCGCAAAAGCAAAAAACGGCGTGGAGTGGAAGCTACGCAGCCCCAACCTGAGCTCCCGGAGGGCGCATCGGCCCGCGCGCCCCGAGGGGCCGAGTGACCTCCCCGGGGGCGCAGGGAGCCGCCGGGAAGAGCCACCCCCCAGGAAGGCCGCCCCCAGGAAGGCCGCCCCCAGGAAGGCCGCCCCCAGGAAGGCCACCCCCAAAAAAGGCCGCGGAGAAGTTGCCGCACCTTCCCATCTACAGGCGAGCGGGTCGGGCACTCGCTGCCCCGGCAGGGGCACCGGGGAGCTGGAGTTCGGGCTGGAATCCGGGGGCAGGAGCGCGGGGGCCGGGCGGGAGAGGGTGGGAGGGGCGGGGATCCGGGTGGAGGGGCGAGGGACTGGCCCGGGAGAAGTGGGAGGTGGTGTTGGGGGGGTGAAGGGGGCCCGAGGCGCCGGCCAGGAGGTGGGGGGAGCTTGGGGAGGGGGCGGCGGGGTCGCAGGCAGGGTCCGGGAGCGCCGGGGCTTGGAGAGGGGGCGGGGGCGGACGAGGGGCGCGCGGGGGAGGCTGGAGGAAGGGGGTGGCACAGGGAGGGGAGGGGCAGCGAGAGCGAGTTAAGGCTGTGGGTTTGGGGAGGACGCGGGTAGACAGGGGGAGGCAGCTTAGTTGCGGGTTCAGACCCGCCGGACTGGCTCTCCCCCGGGAGACACGGGTCGTCCCGGCCTCGGCGCGTCCGGAGGAGCCCCCCTCGGTCTCCCCACCCCGGGCCCTGGGACGCCTGCCCGCCCGCCTGCAGCCTCCGCGCCGCTCAGCTTCCACGGAGCCCAGCCAGCCCAGCCCGGCCCGGCCCGCGCCACGCTCACCGCCCATCGTCCCGGCCGCGGCTCCGGAGCTCCGCGCCGACCCAGCGCCGGCCGCCTGCTCGCCGGGCTCCAAGCAGAGGCTGGGACCGCGCGCACCGACCGCCGGACAGCGCGGCGGCCCACAGCGCCCCCTGCCGGCCGCGCCGCGCCCCGCGCCGGCGTCCCCGAGCTCCGCCCCGAAGGCGGAGAGGCGGCCCCGCTGCCCCTCGGGCGAGGAGGGTGCAGAAGTGCCTGCGGAGAGGACTCTGGCTCTTGGGAGCCAAACGGAGCCCCCAAGGACCGTCCGGTCTGCAGACCCCGCCCCCCCGGGGGGCGAAAGCTACGGTCACAGGCGTCTGAGTGCACGGGGACCGCGGGTTATTGCGTGTGCGGATTCGGGGGATCTGGGGCTGTGCGGACGGACGGGCGGACGGGATGCACCGGGGCCCAGGCCCGGGCCTGGATGGGGCCTCCGTGTGGGTGCCTCTGGGCCGTGCGCCCGGCCTGGCGCTGCCCTGGTCCCGGGGCCGGGCTTGACGCGCATGTTGTGGTCACCGCCACGGCTGGGGGACTGCTGCCGCCGCGTGCAGTCCAACTGCTACAGGTCTCGTCCCCGTGTCCCAGTCCCCTTTTCACCTTCTCCACGCTTCTCTTCCGGTGCCAACCACATCCGGCCCCGGAGTCAACGGGAGACCTCCCTGCGGCTCTGTCTCCAACAATCTGCTGGCGCTGGGGGAGGTCTCGGCTGAGCCTCTGGTCTCCCCTCCTCCTCCCTCTCCCTGCTCCGTGGCTCCCCCCTCCTCCCCGCCTCCCAAAGCTCCTGAAGATCCACAGAGCATCTGGCCTATGTCTGTGACTAACTTGGGCATCCGGGAGATGGACTGGATTTGATACCCTATGTGTGGGTGGTTTCTTCCAAGGGCTGGTCTTCCGTGTCAGGCGGGAAGTCTGCAGTGACCCTGTGTGCCTGGCACAGCTGGCCTTGAGCAAACTAGATAGATTCTCATCCGTATCACCACGCCTTCCCTCCCAGGCGCACTTTCTGGAGCAGCTAGTCATGGGCCTCCCAATTCCACTCCTGCATTGATGGCTCCCAACGCCACACACTACCCCCTGCCTAGTTTACCCATATTCCTACATACCCTGGTTTTCTGCTAAGAACGTCCCATCTCAAGTCAGCAAATTCTATCTCTTCCCCAACGCCCCACTCCATCTACACCTGGACTGCCTTCTTCACCTCGGGGTGGCTCCATGTCCGGTCAGTGTTTGCTTCCAAACTCCGCTCACCTGCCAGTCTCACACTCCTATCCTCAGCTCCTTCCTGCCCCCGCTACGGACACCCCCTCCCAGGGAGCCTGTATCTCCCGGCACAGGATCTTTCCCTGTCCCTTCAGCAGCACCCCAGACTTTTCCACCTGGCTCTCCTCCGTCCACCACCACACCCAACACTTCTCCTTCCATACAGGCTTCTCCCCAGGGTCCTCCCCCTAATCCCGGGCTCTCCCCCTGGCTGACACTGTCCCCCTCTCCCCTACAGACGTCAGCCAGGGCACCTTCTGCTGTAGGTGACAGACAAGCCAACTCACACGTGCTTCACAAAGAACTGGTGGACTCCTGTAAATGAGAGGCCCCGGATTTGGCTCCAGGGACTAAGGATATCAGGGACTCCCCATCCCTCAGCTTTGCTTCCTCCCTTCCCTATGAGCGACCCTCTTGGGCATCACGTGAGAGCCTGGCAGATCCAAGCTCACCACCTCACAGCATCAAGTCCAGCATCTCTTTGCCAACCATCCCACAGGCCTTGGGCCTGGTTCTGATCGGCACCTATGGAGTCACCTGTCCATCCTGCTCCCCAGCCACTGTGACCCCATGGTGAGTGGTTCCCCCTCCCGCCTCTCAGCGACCTCCTCATCCCTCACTGGGAACACCTGGCTGCTTCTGGATCCCTCTCTGTCACGGGGACCAAAGGGGGCTCAGGGACGCCATCTGGCACCGTTCTCCCACAAAACCTGCCACACGGCCACTTGGCTGCAGCCCTGCTGGGCTGGCACAGGGCATCCTGGGGCAGAGTTCCAAATGGGAGGCGGGGCACAGGCTCTCTCCGCTGTCATCGTTCTCTTCAAACGACCTAACCTGGGACGTCTGTCTTTGTATTGTACCATATGCCTCCCTGGGTGGGGAGACCTAGCACAGAGGTGGCCGGGGCTCCTCAGGGAACCTGGCAGACTCTGCCTAGACGCTCTCTCTCCAGTCTCTTTCCTCCTCATCACCCCTGTTCCCTGAGAGCTTCTATGCCCTCCCATTCTGCAGGAAGTGTCCACACCCTCCTCCCTGTGGACTTTGGGTTCTGAGTGTGATACCCACCCTGCCCTGCCCCTTAGGGCAATAACACCTCGTGGCTGAGCCGTAAAGGAGGAAGGGGCTATAAGAAAAGGTTCCTACAGGGAAGTAAATAAATATATATATGTATGTATATATCCCAAGACCATCCCCCCTGTCAGACCTCTTTCCTTTGTGGTGGTTGAGGAGGTAGGTAGCCAGTGAGCATCTGGCTAGCACCTGGGGAGGCTGTGTCAGAGATTATCGCTGACCCAAAGGAACGCAGCGTCAAGAGACAGGCAGCTTCCTGTCATGCCCGAAATGAGGACCTGGGTTTTTCAATTTTCATGTCCCATACCGCACCCCCACCCCACCCCCATTTCCCCCCATGTGATTTAGAATTGGTTTTTCTGTCACTTGCAAGGAAGAAAGCAAGGAGTAGGTCAAGCCCATAGCTCAGTGCCTGGCGCATTGGTTCCTGCAAAAACAGTAATTATCATCATCATCATTCATCTGATAAAGGAGCCAACACGCCCACGGATGACGGTAAGACGGTAGCAGGGAAAAAGCACGGTGTCTTTGGCTTATCGCCACGGTCTCTCCTTCCGTCCCCAGCCTGCGGCTCTTGTCCTTTCCACATGCCCATGTTGGCCCCAGGGAACATCTCAAAATTCCTCGGAATCTGAACCCACCCATCTTGTAAAAATAGTCGCAGGCTCAGCCAGGTCGTGCCTGTGCCTCTTTCACGAGCAAACCTGCCTGGGCAGAGAGCAGCGAGGAGCAGGTGCCCATCTTCAATTCCGTCTCAATCCATTGAGCAAAAATTGAGCAAATATTTGCACAGCCTCCTTTGATTTGTGCTGTGGAGTGAGAGGAACAATGGGCCTCTGTCCTCACCATGGAAGGGATTTTCCTCTTAAAGGGGAAGACGAGTCGTCTAGGACACAGATGGAGGTAACCATACCAGGGTGTCCATTGCGGGAGGGAGAGGGGTGCTTTACGTGGACCAGGCTCTCAGCACCAAAGTCTGTGCTGAATGCAGCCCTGCCTTACAACAGAAGCACGCATCTGCACAAACCATTTTTATTTGTGACTCCTACAGGTTCTAGGTGACAAATATTGTTAAATCCCATTTACGATGGGTTTTGTTTCTCTGATTATAAAAGGGGTGCCCATTTCTTATTTAAAAAAAAACAAAACTGGAAAAATACAAAGTTCACAAAAATAAAGGTGAAAATAAAAACTATCCCAAATAAATTTGTGTTGATTAATATAGTAGAGACTATCAAACCAAGATATTCTTCCACACCGCTGCTGGTAAACCCACGGTCTGGGGGGGGTGGGGGTGGGCTGGGGAGAGAGAGATACCTTGTAAAAGGCTAAAGGTCGTTCCTCAGGTTCTTGCAGAAATGCCGGATTCTCCCTGGCACATGTATATGATTAAAGACTGCAGTCTGAGCCTCCCAGCTCCAGGGTGGTCTGCTCTCTATTATTTATGTATGCATGATTCATTTTCCCAGCTACCAGCTGCAACCCCTTCTCCCCACCCCCAGCAGGCTTATTATCCTAGCCCCTTCTCCTGAGAGCAACGAGGGAGGGCAAACTCATTTTATCCTTTTTTTTTTTTTTTCTGGGTGAAACTTAATTAGAAAGGCAAATACAGAAAAACAGAACACAAAATGACCATGCTAAATAGAAATAAACGATGGCTCTCAAAACTGACCCTGAGGGGGGGAAAAAAATTAAAAATTATAAAGAACTGGAGCAATTTGCTGAGTCATAGGTCTAAATATTCATTTTTGTCCTCTAAACGCTGAGCTCAAGCAAAAGAAAATGTTTCTAAGGAAAAAAGAAGCAAGCACTTGGTGAACTCACAAAAATCTCATTGAGAAATCATCAAAGGACAACAAGGATTTGGGCGAGTTCATCAACAACAGTGCCTGGCACAGACTATATAAATATTGGCTGAACAGATGAATGAACCAAGAGTCCATCCCTCTTGTTTATATAATTAGGAACCAATCAGAAAGGAGACAAGAGGAGAGTGGGCATCTGCAGTCTCATGGGCCCCTGGGAGACAAAAACTGGAGTTCCCTGCTCATGAGTGAGCTGGGGACCAGATAATCCCCCAGACTTCCAGATGGGACCCAAAACAAAAAAGATGGGAGTTTGAAAACAACCTTAAAATGCTGAAAGTCATTGCTGATGCAGAATTCTAGAGAAAACAAGAAGCAGTGAAAATCTACTTGTTCAAAATCAATCACAGTGACATAATGCAAGAGCCAGGACTAGGATCTAGGCCTCATGAACATGTTAGTAGTCTAGAGAATTCCTGTTGCAACATACCAACACTTGGGTATGTCAGTATTTTAAATTTCAGTCATTCTGATGGGTATGATTTCTGACTTGGGAAGGGGGTGCATGTCATTGTCAGGCACTGGGATAAGGGAGACAAGTGGCCTCTAAGGAGAAAAGGCACAACAAGAGGACAGATTGAAGCCCGGCCAGCATGGCTCAGTGGTTGAGCGTTGACCTATGAACCAGGAGGTCATGGTCCGATTCCTGGTCAGGGCACATGCCCTGGTTGTGGGCTGGATCCCCAGTAGAGACAGCCAGTCGATGATGTTTCTCATCGATATTTCTATCTATCACTCTCTTCCTCTCTCTCAAAAAAAAAATCAATAAAAACATTTTTTTAAAAATCCATTTGCAGGTCAGAACTGTCCAGTGTGCACATTGTGACATCATGATTCTTCACCAGGGTCCCAGGTCCCTCAGGGTCTGCATCACCCGGAGGTCAGCACCCACATGGCTCACGTGGCTGTGACTTGTCACC